GAACCGACTGTTTAATACTGGTTTTGTATTTTGTATTCGCAAATGTTGCGGTAAGCAAAAGTCGCCACCGACTTTTCTTTTATCCAAATTAAGGAAAGGGTGAAAAGAACAGAAAAAGTCATTTTTGAGAGTTTTCTGAGTAAGGGGGGTAGATTATGGAAAGGGAAGGTGTTAGCACCCTTTCCATCCGTAGTTATCTACGGGCTCTTAGAGGTTTGCTCATTTTGAAATTACTTTGTGCTTTGGGTGTTTGAAAAATGTTTTGAAACACCTTAGTGCAGCGATTTGCTTTGCGTTTAACTCTTGTATCAGTCCTTAAGAGTGTTGACAGAGCAAATGTTTTTGAAAATTGTTTTTTTTAAAAGTAGTATTTGTGTAAGTGCAAAATGTTTTTGAGCAAACTTCTAACAACTATCTACTTTTATACTCTAAAAGGATAGTTCTTTTCCTCCTATCATTTAGACAATGCTATCCTACTATTAGTGAGTAGACAGCCCCGTCGTTGGATGTATAAGGGACATTCGAAGGGACGTTACAGTCACGAAGGAAACTTGTGGAGACGCTTTAGCAATTTTGTTAGGGACTAGATCATTTATCGAGAGACAACTGTAGGGTCATCGAGGGACTATAATCTTTTTTATTTAAGGGTCTTTACTAAAGCGTCCCTGTTTCGAGGGACATGACTGCTTTATTTCCGAAGGCAACCAAAGTGGGGTACCCTAGAGGTGCATATGTGCAATTGTATTCAATTCGGTTATTTATCTTGCGTTATTAGGTTTGCTAACATTTTTGTTTTTCAGTCTTATCATGCAATCCTAGTTACTAGCAGTAAATATGTACAACATATAAAGTGAGGAAGTATAAACCTACATTATTACATGGCTTCGGGGAAGGGATTTACAATGTATAAAACTTGGGGAGTACAGAAATTAAGAGCAGAAAATAAAGCCTAATTACTATTACATCTTATAAGCAATTACATTATTATAAAAAATGCGAGAATAAAATAAATGCCCGCGAAGATTGAAAGTTCGTCTAAAAACCTAATAAGAAAATCCTTTTTTGTTTTTGTTTATTTTAAGAAGATAATTACACTACCTTAAATATAATTTTAATTAAAAAGGTAATTGCTAAATGAATTTAAAGCCTAATTCTAATTTTTTTTATATATTTTTTTTTAGAAAATAATTTAAACACAAATTAAATCCTAAGTTCTAATTTATTTTAATTTAAAAAGTTAAAGTTAATTAATTAATTAATTCAGGAATTAATTATTCTAAAAAAACTAATCCTAAGTTTTTGTTGATTTTTTTAATTTGTTTTGAAGTTAATTTAAAATCAATAAAGAAATGAGTGAAGCAAAGTAAATGATACGAAGAGCCCTCATTTGATTCAAGGGAAAACGTGGCCTTTCGATTTAGGGAAGAATGATAGTTTTCGATCCATGGGGACAGGCCTTCGATCTTGTGAAGACATGCCTTCGATCCCGCAAAGAACGTTGCTGGAGGCGCCTGCTGACTTTTCCTATGGAGGAAAGCACTAAAATCTGCAAGAAAAAATGTCAACAATACAAAAGCATGACTTGGGCGTGAACTAAGGTCTTTCTCCCAGTTCGACCTCCCATTAATTAGTCTTCTTTGAGTTCGAATTTGGGCTCGTTTGCCTTAGAAAAACCATGGTCTCTTGGGATTCAATGAAAAGCACATATCGTGCCTTCTATTTTTGTATGTCTGTGAGAATGTTGTGCTATGTTATATCCTGGGCATGAATCAGACACTAGGAAATATCAATATATCATGAAAACAAGAACATGAATTTGAAATTTTACCAAGGATGAGATGCTTCGACTTGGGCGTGAATTGGCTAGTGCTTCGGAATACTTCCTGCAAACTTCAGGAAATGAATGGAGCATTGTTGACAATTCCTTCGATTGGGACCACGTATGAGGATTTTGATACCTTTGGGTGGTTTTTGGGGCAGTGTATGTGTGTAAAAACAATATCTCTCCCTGGGCTTGTGTCTCTGGTCTCCTTATATAGAGGGGATGGAAGGGACAAGAAGGCAAAAGGGTAAACAACCATTATGTTGGTGTTTTAAGGCCATGAATACCATTTTGAAACGTTGCAAAAGTCATGAAAACTTATCCTTTTTTGAATTTGAATGAACCTGAACATGCTTCCCTCTTTCGAATGCCTTCAATCCCTGCCCTTCGATTGGCCTCAAGTTGCCTCCTTCGACTGGATCTTTTGAATAGACTTTTTGTGTACGCTTTATTCCCTCTTCGAATGGGCCACCAAGGTGTGTCCTTCGAATGGCTCAAATCTCATCCTTGGGGCCTTATCGATTGAGTCCCTATTTGCTTTGTTCTTTGACTGACACTGACACTATTTAACTAAACCAAACGAAAAACTCCATCCTGGCCAGTCGAAGCTTCCTTTGTCATGAATGTAGTGGTGCATGAGGCTTGGTTGGGCAGCATATAATCTCTTGCCCATCAAGCAACTCGAACCAAACCTCATCAAAAGGCAAAATAAGTTTGTTTCTAACAAATGTGTCCTTCGAATGGACCAATGGCATGTCCTTCGAAGGCACCACTTATGTGTTCATAATGTGGCAATCTTGTGCTTGTGAAACGAAAGCAGGCATGAAGAGGGAACCTTTTGCCTTGAACAAAGCTGGCATGCAGAAACCCACTATTTTTGTGAATCCAAGTAAGCATGCAGGAGGTCACTGCTGGTGGATCAAAGGGAGCTTGCAGGGGATTCTTGCTTTGTGCGCTCAAGGCACGCACAAAGGGACAATTTTCCTAGTTGAAGCAGGAATCAAGCTTGCTCCAAAGACATCAAATGCCCAATCAAAGCAAGAATTAAGCTTGCTCCAAAGAAACCAAATGCCCAAATGAAGCAGGAATCCAGCTTACATGCAGGTAGCCATTGCATTGTGAATCAATCCAGCATGCAAAGCCAATGGTGCAATCGAAGGAGCACTAACAGGAGGCCCTTCCCTTTTGGATCGAAGGAGGTTGTTTTAAAGGAAACACGTGCCCAGTCGAAGCTTGTACACAGAAAACAAGTAAAAGGCCAAGGCTTCAATCGAAGCTTGGAAATTTGAGGCAAGCTTGGAAGAGGTTAGGCGCTCAATCGAAGCCTGTCCAGATGCCAATCGAAAGACCCTTTAACATGCCAATCGAAAGACTCCTTGTTTATCTTCAAAAAAAATATTTTTCTTTAATCAAGTACTTGTAATCACCTATGTAAGAGAAAATCTTGGAAAAAATGAGAGGGCAAATTTTGGGGTACAACATATGTCACATGACTCTTTCTTTCTGAAGTCTTCACTATGATATCATCAATATGTACCTCCAGGTTGTGTCATATATGCTTTGAGAACACCACATCTTGAGTCTCTTATAAGTAAAGCATGCATATTTGAGCCCGAAGTGCATGGTGTTGTAATAATAGTTAACATGATTTGACATGAATTTTATATTGGGAGCATCCAAGGGATCCATCTTAATTTGGTTGTATACAGAGTAGGAGTTCACAAAACTAAATGTTTTGTAGCCCGAAGACCCGTCAACCAAATGATCTATATTAGATAAAGGGTATGAATCCTTTGAGCATGCAACATTAAGGCCAGTGAACTCAACACACATACACAATTTGTTTGATGATTTCTTTACCAATATCACATTAGTTAGCCAGGATGGGTATTTTACCTATGTTATGAAGCCGACTACTAGGGTCGATTAATACTTGTTTCACGTCCCAATTATCATACTGAAACGTGACGACCATGGGGTCATTGTTGCGGGGAAGAACATCAAGAACATTTTCATTTGGAAATTTGATTCTGGATTCCCGCTCGCTCACTATGATTCGAGAAACGTTAGCAGATACCATGTAAAAACTCGTCGTGCACATTTTCTTTTGGAGGAATTGGATTCTCCTCCACCGTTAAAACCTTCGACGATGGTGTTGATGGTGATATTGAAGCTTTGCTTAAACATTCCCTTGAGAAGATGATGAAAGCTACAGTGAGTAATAATGAGTGTGACCCAAGTCAGTTTTATCGGTCCCATGATAGATGTCAATTATACTTGCTAAAAGTATAATACATGACAAGCCATGGTGGTTAAAGGATGTCAAAGGTTTTTAGATACGTTGTGGGGTTAAAAGCTAGCTCACATATGAGATGAGAAACTCTATTTATTTTTTTGTATGAGAATGAGATGATCTCTCCCAACTATATCATTGAGATATTTATATCAGTCCCGAGCCACGATCACATGCCTTTTGGGAATAACATCTGTTACTAAGAAGATGCAGGAGTGGACAATCAATCCACCACTATTTTCGAGAACATGGTATAATGATCCCATTTTTATTGTTACAAAAGGGGGACAAATCACTTCCCATATCAGACAAGTATTCCTAAAGAGAGGTGGCATGTTCATTGGAAAAGGGCGACATAACTAATAAACAGACGCTGAAATTTTAAAACAAACAACCGAAGAGGCCATATGGTCTCAACTCAAATCCACTGCCTCCGCTTCGGCCCTTATGGACCCCTTTTAAAATATACTAATAAAAATTAAATATCTTTGTGCGCATTTAGAGAGAATAATCTCTCAATTCGAGAGAACAAAACTTCTTACCACTTAAAAAATAAAATAAAATAAAGGAAACTCAATAATTATAATTATTTTAATTAATTACTAATTACAAGTATACCTAAATTTAGATATTTTTTCCAAAATCAAATACAAAGTTTTAGTTAAAAAATAAATAGAAATAAAAAATAAAAAAAAGGAAACCCTAGTAATGATAATAATTAATAAATTAATAAATAAGGAAGAGAGGGAGAAGGGCTTTTAAAAGCACAGCCAACATAGGATTAGAGAGCCACTTCCAGTCAGTACAATCAATCAAAACCCTCTTCTCTTCTTCCCTCTAGGTTTTGCTTTTTTCCTCTCTTCTTCTTCGCTTTTTCACTTCTCAATGGCTAACAACAAAGAAGCTTTCAACATCTCAGATCTCAGTTCCGGTACGCATCCTCTCAACACCCGTGTTTCCCCAATCTTTTTCATGTATTTTTTATGCAATTTGGTTAATTGGGTTTTGATTTTTCTTTGTAGCTCTCAATGAAGAGGATCGGGCTGACCTAGTCAACGCTCTCAAGGTTTGCATGATTCTTGCTCTTTTCAATTGTAAACCCCCCTAGTGTTTTGTTTGTGAAGTTAACCCTAATTTTGACAAAACCCTAATTTTGATTTTTTTTGTGTGTCTTGGGTTTATGTTTTGGTGATTTGGTGAAGTGTTGTTTATTTAGTTTTTGTTTTTGTTGTAGAGTAAGATACAGAGTCTTGCTGGGCAGCACTCTGATGTTCTGGAGAGTCTGTCCCCTGTTGTCAGGAAGCGAGTTGAGGTTCTCAGAGAGATTCAGGTATATTCCCCTAATTTCTGGTATAATTTTGATCTGATGATGTTTTTTAATGGTTAATGTTGTTGTTTAATGCTTGATTGTTTCCAATATATGTGTTTTCTCCCTTTTATGGAACAATAACAATACCAAGTTAACTTGATTTGAGTATAGAGTTTGTGATTTGAAGTTCATATGGAAAATTCCTTATTTGTTGGATTGACCCCAAGGGGCTTGTGCAAGTTCCGGTGCATCAGTGGTCTTCCAGGCACATAGCATTGTTTTGTAACTGTTAAGCTGAGACGCTCCTTTGCTTAGTGAAACCATTATGTTGAATAAAATGTATCACATTCATGAATTAGAAGAAATTGTCTTTCAATAGGGATACTTATTTCTGAACCTTGTCTTTCTATTATTTTACAATATTTGAAAATTTGACCAGACTATATCTTATCATTTGTGGGTTAAAATTGCTTTTATTCTCAATTCTGTGTTAAAATTTGAGTTTGCCCTTTATGATATGTAGAGTTGATCTGTCAAATGCTCTTGTAGTTTGTATCTAATCATCCTAATATGTGTTTTGTTAATGACTGTACAGGGTGAACATGATGAATTGGAGGCAAAATTTTTGGAAGAGAGAGCTGCTCTTGAAGCCAAATACCAAGTTTTGTATCAACCATTGTACACTAAGGTATCCTAATGATTCTTTTCATTGTATATTCATGGTTACCCTGTTTAATTTAATCACAATTAAGTTTTATACTACTTGATTGTAAAATTATTCAATCTGATTTTTTATTTTTGTGAATATTTGATTTAATATCTTTAATCGCTGGATTTATTTGCAATTTGATGCAGCGTTACGACATTGTGAATGGTGTTGCTGAAGTGGAAGGGGTAGCAGTTGAAACTACTGCTGCAGAAGAGGACAAAGGTAGTGACTAGGAACTGATGTCTTTCACTATTGAAACTATTGTTTTAGTTCTTCATATCAGCAATTTTCTTATGACTTCTGCAGAGAAAGGAGTGCCTTCATTTTGGCTCAATGCTATGAAAAACAATGATGTCTTAGGTGAAGAGGTAAGTTCAAAAAGTGTTCAGCATTTAACTTCTTAAATGCTTGAAGTCTTTTAGTCATAAAATTACTTTTGTAATGATGTTTTCCTGCTTCTCTACAAACTAGATTACAGAGCGCGATGAGGGTGCTCTCAAGTTTCTCAAAGATATCAAGTGGACAAGGATTGAAGAACCTAAAGGATTCAAACTTGAGTTTTTCTTTGATTCCAATCCCTATTTTTCAAACTCGGTGTTGACCAAAATCTATCATATGGTTGATGAGGACGAGCCTATACTGGAGAAGGCTATTGGGTAAGCTGGTCTTTTTTACCTATGCTATTGTACTGCTAGTTTTCAACAGTTTGTAACATTTATTTGCTCCATTTTGGTTATGCAGAACTGAAATTCAGTGGCTTCCAGGAAAATGCCTGACCCAAAAGGTTTTGAAGAAAAAGCCCAAGAAGGGTGCAAAGAATGCTAAACCAATTACCAAAACTGAAACCTGTGAAAGTTTCTTCAACTTTTTCAATCCACCAGAAGTCCCTGAAGATGATGAAGACATTGATGAAGATATGGTATGGCACCTATATAAACTCAAGGTTAACTATAAATATTAAACTATATACTATTTGCTTTAACTATTCAATTTAATTTTTAACAGGCTGAGGAACTTCAGAATCAGATGGAACAAGACTATGACATTGGGTAAGCATAATTGCCTATTTTCTTTTTACTTTTGTTGAAGCTATGTATCCAACATGTATTATGCTTGTAATCTGTTTATCATTTGTAATATTGAATCTATCCTTAATTGAGTTTTATTGCTTCTTCAGGTCAACAATAAGAGATAAGATCATCCCCCATGCTGTATCATGGTTTACTGGGGAGGCTGCTCAGGGAGAGGAGTTTGGAGATCTGGATGATGAAGATGAGGATGAGGACGATGATGGTGAGGAGGATGATGAAGATGAGGATGAGGACGAAGATGATGATGATGAAGACGAGGAAGAGACTAAGACTAAAAAGAAGGTATAATCTTGAGTGAGTTGAATTGAATTGCTGAAATGTTGGTTAAGTTTGTTTTTCTTATTTAATGTTTGAACTTGAATTAACTCGATTGATTTTTATGTGTCCCGTGTTAATTTCCTTTGGAACGTTGCTGCAGTCATCTGCTAGTAAGGTAAAGCCATTTTAACTTTGTGATCTTAATGAAATCATATTAGAGATTTTTTTTTGTATTTGTTTGCTTGGTAGTGTATTGCTAAAGAGAGAAGTGCTAGCAACACTCTCTTTGACACTTTCTCCACTCATGTATTTATTTTGTGTATTGAAAAGAATGTCAAAGAGAGTGTTGGTAGCACTTCTCTTGCTGCCGTTGTCCTTATTGCCCAGAAAAACATGAATGTGCTCTTTAGTACAGAGTGCTGTAAAATTGTGGCACTAAAACACTTGTGTAGCACAGCTTAGTTTAAACTAAACGGCACCATAACACCGTAGCACAGCAGAGTCCAAACATGAATGTTCCACTACACGCCATTTAGTACAAAATGCTGTAAAATGACGGCACAGAAACCCTATAGTAGAGTTCAAGCAAACTGCTATTTTATGCTATATTACATTTATTCTTCACTTTGGACTATGCATTCCTAATTTCCATCGTGTTATATATTTTCAGAAGAGTGGAATCGTGCAGCTTGGCGATGGTCAGCAGGGTGAAAGACCACCAGAGTGCAAGCAGCAGTAATTAATTTATTCAGAGTGTGATGCTGCTGCTGAAAGTTGTTTTGGGGTCCTAGTGCCTGGTGAAAAAGGGTTTTCAATTTCATGTGGTTTTTCATGGTCCTTAATTCATTTTCCTCCCCTTAGTTTTATTTATAGTCTGAATTTATTGAGTCTCTTGCTCCTTTTTGTCCCCTCCTTTTGGAGAGATGGTGTTATATAGTCAGGGTATGTTGTGATTTATTGGTACTTCAATTTTAGGTCTCCTTCCTAGATACTTAAAGTTTGTGCTTGATTGTTACCAATATATTAAACTTTGATTAGCAAAACGTTGCTACAAGTTTTCGTGTGAGAAGAAAAATTGTAATGATTTTTTTTAAGTGCATTCAACATGTTACAGTTTTATTGATTGTTTGTTTGTATTATTCAGTTTTACTTCAGAAAAATTATATATATTTTTACAAGATTTTGATTTTTTTCAATTATTTGTTATATAAAATTTTATAAACAAATATCAAAGTTAAAATAAAGTATTACTTTCCTAATATAAGTTTTAAAAAATGTTGTGAAACCCCTAAATTATCTTTGTATGATTGTGTTTTAATAAAACGAAACTTGAAATAAAGTATTACGTTTCCAATATAAGTTTTGTAAAATCTTGTGAAACCAAATATGATTTGAATGATAAAATGAGCTTTTTATGTCTATTTATTTGCCCTATGATAAAGAAATATAATATGATGATCTGTTAAAATGTGTGTTGAATGAAAATTTCCATAAATACAAGTTGTCAAAAACAACTTGTCATGTAGCTTCTTGTCTCGCTTTCAACAACACTTACATGACTATAATAATACCCAACATAATGGAGAACATGCCAGCGAGATAATCATTTTTATTTATTTTTCATTCTCAAAGGAATCATCTTGCAATTGATTTCCACTTTTTTGTTTGAATTGATTTCCAATTTTTTTTTGTGATATTGTAAGGGGTATGAGAATATCCCATTTCTTTCAAAATAGATTCTATTTCCAATATGGACTATAATAAAATAAAGCCATGATTTTAAATTCAAAATTTAAGCAATTTTTTAAAACTCAATTCACGATAGTTTTTTCAAAATATTATCTATCTATGCAATTAAAATTTTAGTTTGAGAATTTCTTATTGCATTCTATATAGGAGAATAAAGTTATATGAAAATCTTAAAATACATTTAGGAAAATCGAAAATATATTTTTGGTTAGCACTCTATACAAATACAATTCTTTCGTTTTTAAAATATATTTTATTTTACAATTTAATTGTTTTTGAAAATGTACTTTCGGTAGTTTCTGAAAATGTATTTCTAATTTCTAGTTTTATATATTCAGGAATATAGCTTGGGAGAAGATAGCCTTTGGTTATAAATGATTTAATATATTAGTTCATCGTTCCAAAATACAAGACTGAAAATGTATTTCTAATTTCTAGTTTTATATATTCAGGAATATAGCTCGGGAGAAGATAGCCTTTGGTTATAAATGATTTAATATATTAGTCAATCGTTTCAAAATATAAGAGAGAAAAATAAAAAAATACATTTATTAAGAAAAGTAAAAACATAATTATTTGATATGTGGTTTTTTTAAAATAAAGTATTTAGATAAATATAAAAATAATTCTAATTGGTTATAGAAAAGATGAGAGAGAATGTAAATTAAATATATTTTATATTTAATTTTATCTTGAAAAAAATGAAAGTGATTTTCTCTCTCTTATATTTTGGGATAAGAAAAATGCATTTTTCTCTCTCTTATATTTTGGGACTAGGGCTCGCAATGAACCAAATCAACTCGAAAATAGTTCGAGATTCGATTCGGTAATTAATTCGTTGGACTTGGTTCATGAACCAAATGAGTCGAACTTGAACTCAAAATTAAGTTTGTAAAATAAATGAGTTAGAACTTGAGTTATGTATAGTTCGATTTGTTTTGTTCATGAAGTGACTCGATATATAAATTTTACGAAGACATCAATACTTAGTTTTCATATTTATTTATATCATTTGAAAGATGATAAAATAATTTATAATTCTATTGATTACAAAAATCCAAATTCAACATAGTAAAATATAGGTTACAAACTTAAGTTATAACATTTTATTATTTGTTCATATTACATATTTTTGATGATAATATCTTGAATTACAAATATTATTTCGAGATGAAACTTATATTATATGAAAACTAGAAATATTGTCTATAATTCTTGTGAATACAATAAGAATAAAATAATATTATTCTAACAAGTTGAGTTTGAGCTGAGAAAAAAGTCCGTGATGAACTCGAACTCGAATTCGAATTCAGTCAATTTTTAACGAGTCGAGTTTGAACTGAAAAAATAGTTCGTGATAAACTCAAACTCGACTAATTCTTAACGAGTCGAACTGAACTGAGGCGAATTCGACTCGACTCGACGCATTTCTAACCCTAGAAAATATTTATTAACTTTTAGTATTACCTAATAGCGGGGGAAAAGAAGAAACTGATAAGATTGATTGACCTCTATATGTAGTTAGCTTAAAATTGGATCAATTTTCAAACCGACAACCTATAATATCTATTTCAGAGCTATTATTACATAAAAGTTTATAACAATGTTGAACACAATAAGTTATCATGTGTTTTGATGATGATCATTAGGAATCAAAAATATATTTTCGATAATTATCGAAAATACATTTCCAAAAAATAAATAAATCGTAAAATAAAATGTATTTTAAAAAAGAAAGAAGTAATATATATAGGATGCATATTAAAAATATATTTTTAATTTTTAAAATTTCACGTAATATGTAAAAAAAAACTATATAATACATTAAAAAAATTCTCTTTAGTTTTAAGTACTCTTTAGCGATAATTATAATTGAGGGTAGTTTTGAGGATGGGCTTGCATTTTCATGAAATTTATAGAATAAGTTGTAGTTGACTAAATTTCTTAATAACAACGTCAGTTTCTTTTTTATCATGACTAGTGCTAATAACATTCACTCAAATACAATCTTTTTAATATTTATTGGGGTTGGCAATTTTAAAAATAAAATTTATGGGAGTTTATTTTCAAAATATTGAGATTCATATGAATTAGAATATGGTGCCTTTTGGTATTATAAACTTTAAAAAATGTGTAGTGTAAATCTTGTAGTATTGTTTCAGATTGAATTGAGGTATAATATTTTGGATCTCAAGAAGACCATCCAGGTCTCATGGAACAAGAGTATGCTCTAAAGACTTAAAGACTCGGATGATCTTAGGTTAGCTGCATCCCACTATCTATTGGATAAGAAAAATCACATGGTCTTAGATCACTTATCCTAAAAACCGTTTTAGACGATCCTAAATCTTAGCTATAAAGTCCAATGAATTAATTTGACTCAGGTACACATTATTAAAAATCTTAAACCTCACATTTATAATAGTCACTTATTTGATCGTTAGAGTTTTAATAAGTCCATCTCCATCGTTCACTAATATAGAGAATATCGATGTACGAAAATTTGTTATCACCATCACCATCAACACTTGAAGATAAAGATCATTTCAAATCATTTGATGTCGTATGTAGATAACATCCACAAACAGTTTTGTTTATCTTTGATCTAATGACGAACCCCCGACATACACGAACAACAAATTCTCCCACAACCAAGAAATCAATGATCTTTTAAAAAGAACTCATGACGGTCGTTCAAAGGAAGTCTAAAATTGTCCAGAAGAAAATGAGTGTATGAGGCGAACAATTCAAATGAGGGGATGAAATATGACATGATGGATCAATTCAAGGAAGTTCCCCCCACTCAAGAGCTAAGGAAATCACATCATAAATGTTTTGTCATCAAGGCCTATCTCCGATGTGGTTCTCCCAAATCAATGAATCTTTCACGCTAAATATGGACCAATAACACATCAGTTGCCGCGAGAGAGGAGGCAATTAAGGAAGCATTGAGCCGATCCATCATATCTAGAAGAGCGTTAAACCAATGTGACAATTTCCTCACCATTACAAGTGTCTTTGAACAAGTCAACATGTCTAGGGAGCACATTCCTAGCATATCAACCCATAAAGAGAAATTTGGAAGAGATATTTGCACCAACGAGCTAACAAGAATCATAGTCTTAGAAAAAGAGTCTGATGTAATCATTCCAAGACAGAAAATTAGTCAATGGAGTACCAAATTATCGCATTCTATATTGGTAATAGTCGTTGTGTCTAATTTTGACGTTCATTGTGTATTTCTGGATCAGAGAGGTTCCTACCATATCATGCACACAAAATTATCATATGATGTAATTCAATCACCATATAAAATCATACCACGACAATGACCTCCTAGAGTTTAATGATTCTACCATTAAGCCTTGAGGCTATGTGGAACTGTTGCTTAATTATAAGAAAATATAGGGACAATAAAGATTTATCAAAGCTCAATTTTTGGTAATCGCTTGCGAGACTGAGTTCAAAATATACCACTTGTGTAATCGAGGCAAAATGTACCACTTGGTTATCGAATGACCCATGCCAGTGAAGAAATTGAACATCAAGTGGTGAATGTGCATCAAATACTCCAATCTCAACAGGCTACAAACACATACCAACAAATTCGAAGATTATATGAAGACGACCTACGTAACCAAAAACATATTTTTTACATGGTAATGCCCTTTGAATTCAAGAACGCGAAGTAGGGTGTACCTACAAATTATGAATCAGGGACATGTTGAAGTTATACATGCACGATATGATAGTAACATTTAAGTAGAAATATAGTCACACCTTTCACTTGGAGATTGTGTTTAAGGAGGCCCGAAAGTACAACATGTGGTTGAACCTCGGGAAATGCACATTTGGCGTTCAGAAATGAAAGTTTTTTTGGATACTTCTTAAAAAACATGGGGATCGAGTTCAACTCTCACAAATGTAATCATTATTGAGATGACACCTCCTATAACAAAACATGTGATACAAAGATTGGACAAATTGGTG